GTACATACGTGCGAAAAAAACACTTTCGTTATAATTTACCTTTCGGTCAACTCCCTAAATATAAAAGAATTATTTAAAGAAGCGTTTTGCTTAACAGAAAAAATAAATGAATGCATAGAGTGTGTAAAAAACTATTCGAACCATGCATTCCTCATTCCAAAAGCACTTCTCTTACTTCCCACCCCAACTCACTCGGTTTCAAAGCAAGAGAGTGCCCATGATCTAGAATGCTCTCTTACTTTTCACTCTCTATTCCATTCGAATGTATTCTTTGGCTAAGGCAATAAGAATGTATACCTGCAGACCTCTAGTTCATATATAACCCCGTTTACAACGAAACGAATTTATTACCCACGAATAAACTTACTCTGTTTGCCTCTCTCATTTTTTTTTTTTATAGCTTTGCTTTTATTTATTGAATCTACTCTTAATTTTGAGACTAACAATAAGTTGACGAATTTTAACATTAAAATTTAACTAACAGTATACTAAGACTGCATTCTGGTTGCGCGTCCCTGTCGCTGGGTGGGTAAGTCATTGCTTCGAAGGCGTGATTGGTTGCCCAACCTTGTTAGACCTTTCGCCAGGTGGTTAGGGTGCTTCCGATAGCTTCGTTAAGTACTTTACCTTCTGTTCGGCGATCACTTCTTTGACTGGTAGAATGTTTAAGTCGCGGTGTATGTTTTCGTTGCGAACTTACCACGGTGCCCCGGTGATTCTTCTCAATATCTTCGCCTGAACTCTCTGAATGTTGCTATTGCCGACGTTCCCTCATAACTGGGAGCCGTACATCCATATAGGTTTTAGTACCGAATTGTACAGCAGGACTTTATATTCAAGGCTAAGAGGTGACCGAGCGTTGACAAGCCAATGAAGGCCGCTGGCTTTTAGCTTTAGGTGTGTTCTTGTGGCTTCAATGTGCTGGCGCCATGTGAGTCTTCTGTCGAGATGTACTCCTACGTATGTTATTTCGTTCGCTTGTGAGAGTAGAGTGTTGTTTAATGTAATCGGCGGGCGGTTTTATTAGACCTTCTAGCCAGATTTTTTCAAATGCTTGGATTCTCAGGTATGTCTTTATCCGAGTCATAAGGCATTTTTCAAAGAGTTTAGATAGGCAAGATTGTAGTCTTAAAGGTATGCTATTATTATTATAATTGACTTTTTCCATCTCACTGGAAAGTTTTGCGATGGCATTAAAGAGCTGGGTGAGAGTGCAAACGGCGCAGTATGGGAGTTCAATGGTCATTTTGGGAGTTATGAGGTCGCAGCCCGGCGATTTTTTCGGATTCAGTTGTCTTTTGATGATGATAACGATTTCGTTTGGGCGAAACATAATTGGCTCAATGGGTTGAGGCTGGGAGTCATATGATAGAGTCGGCAAAGTAAACACATTGGTGGCACGATTTGGTTGGAAGACATTTTTAAGGTGCTTGGCAAACGTGCTGGCTTTGTCTGCGTCGCTGCGCGCCCACCCGCTTGTGGAATTTCTAATAGGTATCACGATTTCTTTCGGAGAGCTCAGAGTTGGGTGAGCTCTCCATAGTGAATGTTTTGTACTGTTAGTTGACAATTGCTTAATGTAGCGGCGGTGGACGTTTCTTCTTGCTGTATAGCTTGATCAAGTTGACGTGAGGCATGTTTTAAGCAGATGGCGTTCTGTGAAATTGTCATTCTCGACGTAAGCGAGGATGAGCTGTTCGATTTGTAGATTTGTCTTCTTTTGAATGCATTGTGTTTATAGTTTGAGTTGTTGAAACTCGAGCTGCAGAGAAGAGTACAGACTCCAGTGAATTAACAAAACTGTCTACGTTGGCTTCGTCGCTGAGGTGAGGTCTAAGCTCAATGTGTGAACTAATATACTTCCTGCACTTAACCCAATTGGTTTTATGTGAGGTCAGTTTTGATGATTGATCCCATGTTCCTGGGTGTCGAAGTAGAGTTAAAAGGACAGGCGATTGATCAGATGAAAGATCCGAAAGGCATTCGGCGCATATCAGATTTTTAGGAATGTTTTTGGTGATCGCAAAGTCTATTAAATCAGGAAGTTTCTTTGGGTCTGCCGGCCAGTAAGTAGGTGTGCCAGAAGAAACATAGTCTAGCTTGTTCTTAGCTTTGATAATTGCATTATAGAGTTGCTTTCCTTTTGGGGTTACGAGACGAGATCCCCAGTATGTGTGCTTGGCACTATAGTCTCCTGCTGCTATGAAGTGGCCTCCGAGTGAGTTAGAAAACTGCATAAACTCATCTTCGGCTATGGTGAAGCGTAGGCGGCAGTATACGGCGGCTAGAGTTAATTGGTTGACAGTATTTAGGTGTATATTTATGGATTTATGGCCTTTAGGTAGTTTTTAGCAAATTTCGTATGATAATGGTGCTTAATACGGCTTCTGATTAAAATTCCAGTCCCGCCCTGTGCTTTACCATCTGGATGATTGGTTCCATAGAATGAATATCCTCGTAGTTGGAAATTGTACCTGTTTGTAGGATGTGTTTCTGAAAGCAGCATTACGTCGATTTGATTGTCTAGTAGGAATTGCGCTAACTCGAGCTTATGCTGCGAAACGCCGTTAGCGTTTCACTTAGATATTCGTAGGGAAGTCATTATTTGGATTGTTGTGAAACCAGAATTTGTATTAATAAATTTTGGCTTTGGAAATTTGGATTTTGGATTTTGGTTGGGCTTTATTGTAGACTGCATATCATAGCTTCAAAGTTACTTTTTGGCTGCTCCGGCGGTTGATGCTGCTGAGCCGTGCTTGGTTCTTGGTGTGCTGATTGCGGCAGTGAGCTTTTTGAGGCTGGGGTAGCCAGTCCTGATTTTAAAGCGCTTGCGTATGTGACATTTTTGGCAGAGTTTATGGGTCCTAGTGAGGATCTGACTGCAGTCGAAAAGAAGACTTCAGGGTTTGACCTGGGACTATCAACAGATTATTTTGGGTGCGGGCAGTAATTCCCCTCTGGTGAATGCGACTTTTCAGCTCCTTATAAACTGGGCAACCTCTATAGTTAGCAGTGTGATTTCCACCGCAGTTGCCGCACTTTTTCGAGTTGTGATCATCATTGCTCGCTGGGCAGTGTGCGGAATCATGAAGCTCGCAACAAACTACACATACCGGGCGCAGTTTACAGTAAGACACATTGTACCGGTCCATTGCGCTTGTGAGCTCAACCTTAAAAAGTGGCTGCGGTTTTCTATCCCTGTTAAGGATATTGAAGACTGTCTTAGCACTAAATCCCTTCTCTGGTAGCGTCTTTGTTATCTCTGTAGGCGATACTTCGGACTCTATGCCCTTATGTACGACTTGCAGGCCCTTGTCGGTGAGGTATTTCGATAATACTCTTTAATTATCTTCAGACTTCGTTTGAACTTTTGTTTCATGGATGTTGCCCTTAATACGAGTGGTAGTATGTGGAAGTTGTCCTTGCCAATAAGCTCTAAAATTTTGTTGACAAGAACGTGGGGCGTGGGCGTTTCTATTGAAGCTGTGTTAGCTTCCTTTTGATTTGGATGTAGCGATCCATACCAGTCTGTACAGCCGGCTTAATATTTTCTTTGTTTTTGTTCTCTTTTTCGGGCAGCGCAGCGGCAGAAGTTTTAATGTTTGCGCTGCTAGCTGATGACGTTGTTAAACGCGCTGTCGTTACAGTTGCGGTTGTTTTTGTTGTTGTTGTTTTTACGTTTGACGTTGTCAAAGAAGTTGCGGTGCTAGTTACTGCGCTCCTTCGATGCAGAGACATCGATGGTAGCGAGGGGGAGCAAGAACGCGCTCTCTACGTTTAAGAATTCGGTCAAGTTTGGGGTAATTGACCGTGTTTGGGAAGAGCTTACATCACTTTCGGTTGCTTTAAAAGAGAAGTAAGCGTTGTGTCTTTGTACTGAGAGCCGTCTCTACTCTTGCTCACGTTGACGTTGCAATCGAGGTTGAGTTTGTTCGAGTTTTAAATATTTATTGTTTTAATATTATGTTTTATATTAATTAATTAATTAATCAATTTAAACATTAGCGATTTCATCGCTGAAAGCGTCTTTTCGCGTTGTTGTTGATTTATGAAACCAGTCACTGCACTTTTTTGATTTTATTGAATACTTTTTTTCCCGGAGCACAATAAATTCATGTCTGCATGCGACGACGATGCGATGGTGATCCGATGGTGATGAGCCTCTTTCATCATAATAAAAAATAGTTTTTCGTAGAGTACTAGGGCATATTGCATTTGTGTGAATGTATGCAACATAGGAAGAAATAATCTCTAACCCCATAAAGAATATGTTTTCTTGATCAGTATCTACAGCTGAGTCTACATAGCCATGTCCGTCGGCCTGCCCGTTCGTCTGTCCGCCTGCCCGTCCGTCCGTCTGTCCGTTCAAATGGTCGTAGATTTCCAAGATTATAAAAGATAGAACTATTCGATTTAGAACTTCGACTCGTATGGTATCTGCACAGATCAAGGTTGTGTCAAAATTTTGTTTGTGTCCCAATTAAACCAAGTCAGACCCTTCCCTACTAAATCGGTAGTATAAGATAAGATAAATCAGTCGGTTACTTCGGTTGTTTTTTCCCAAGCGCAAAATATGCAACAAACATTTTTTGTTGAGAACCTAACCTTTAAACTTTAAAGGTTAGTTAAACCAGGTGTTTTACCAGGTATTAGCACCAGGTATAATATAGTCGAAAAACTCGACTATAGCCTTCTGTTCTTGTTTATTTTTTTTTAACTTCCTTATTTTAATAAGTATATTTATAGTCTCGTATAATAATTACAAGATTTAAGGAACGCGTTTTAAGCGATTTAAAATTTTTTATCATTGATAAAATTGATATTCATATTTTTCCTAATTTCAAAAAAGAAAAATAAATTATCAACATATATTAAATGCCTATTATTAAATAAAACGCAATTGTTATTATTATTCAATAATAATTTTTATTTATTCTTTCTTAATTTATTTTCAATATATGTATGTATTTTTATGCATTTATATATAACCTGCCTTTCAGACTCAGTATGATACGTTGAGCGACTCTGATGTCAGCATTCAACAGCAAAATTTGCAAACTGTTCAGAGGTTACATCAGGAGAGCAGCCTGCTGGAATTCCATCATCGTCTTAGTAATCAGTTTGGGGCCGCGGGATTTCCTCTACCAAATTGTCATCATCAGCAGCATGGCGGAACAGGATCATCTGCAGCCGTTTTACCATTTTTACATCCCTTTATGAGGCCTCCTTTATCTTCTCAGCAATTAAATCACTTGATTCCTGGTCATGAAACTCAACAAGGACATAGCCACGTCCAACAGCATGAAACCAATTCCCAAACAATAGCTTTGTCTCCTATATGGTCCACTGCGGCGGTGGCGGCTGCTCATATACAAGCCGCACTGGCAGCGGCAGCAGTTGCCGCCGCCAGTAGCAATAGAATCTCAAAGGATAAAGATCACCAGCTATTCAGCGCAAACTCTAATATAATGGATATCTCATCTCTGCAAACTGGAGAGAGCGAAGTGGAGGCTAATGCGCCTGCTTCTAGGCCCATAACTCCACCGTATGAAAGCCAATCTATTGAGATTCTCTCATATAGTCACAATACACCTCCGGAGTCCCCGCATGGTCGAACCTACACTAGCGCCATCGGAACTATTCCCAGTATTTTTGAGGAAAGTTCTTCACACTTTCCATCACCACCATTGCATAATCAGAATAATGCAAGCCAATTTGAATCAACACAAGAGTCTGAGATAGACACTCCACTTAACCTAAGTAAACCTAAGGGATCTTCCAGTTCCTCGCCTGCAAGTCCATGTCAAAAAGATCAAATTGAAAGCCTTACTTCTGTTATATCCAACCTGCCCCTAAGCTGGAAACAAGGTTCTGGCCAACATCGACCGCATTTTACCGATATAGAGCCACCTCTTATTAAAAATCATGTGAGTTATTTAATTTAAATTAAAAATTAAAAATATTTAGAAAACATTTTAAAAGGGAATGAAATAGATTAGTATTTTTAAAAGAAAGAAGAACCAGAAGTGATTTGCATAGTAGAGTTTTTTTGAATGCTTGAACACGCTACATTTTTCTTCTGCTTCCCGTACTTTTTCCCACAAAGGTTAAAAGAAAACATCGGATATAGTTGGCCGATCCTTATGATTACATCATAATAAAACCAATAAATTACAATAAAAAATCTAAAAAAGTCCCATGTCTGTTTCTACGCAAAACAAGTCTCTGAGTTTTAAAGCTATCGACTTGAAACTTTGCACACACCCCTCTTATCGGCCGGCCTATATCCTATAGGAATCGGCCGACTATATCCTATAGGTGCCATATAACTGATTGATCGGAAATTCAATAACTTGTGTTTTTTTTTAGAGTTAGAGAGTTTAAATTTTACATGAGCGCTATTTTTAGCAAAATAATAGGACATGCCAAATTTCGTAAGGATCGGCCGACTATATCCTTTAGCTGCCATATAACTGAACGATCGGAAATGGCCCAACTTTCGTGTTTTTGAAAATAGAAAGCTGGAACTTGGTACAGATTATATTTTTGGTCAGATAATCCGACCTACCAAATTTCATAACGATCGGCCGACTATATCTTATAGTTGCCATATAACTGAACGATCGGAAATGGTTTTTAATAGATATACCAACTTTGATATTTTTGAAGATAGAAGTTTGGGACTTTTTTTTAGATTTTGTATTGTAATAAATTGGGTTATATATTCATATTTCCATAAGGATCGGCCAACTGTATCCTATGTTTGCGATATATATCCGGTTTTAGCTGCAAGGGTATATAAACTTTGGCTTCGCCCAAAGTTAGCTTTCCTTTCTTGTTTTTTTAATTTTTATACCCTTGCAGAGGGTATTATAATTTTGTCCAAAAGTGTGCAACGCAGTGAAGGAGACATCTCCGACCCTATAAAGTATATATATTCTTGATCAGGATCACCTCCTGAGTTGATATGAGCATGTCCGTCTGTCCGTCTGTCTGTCTGTCCGTCTGTCTGTTTCTACGCGAACTAGTCTCTCAGTTTTAAAGCTATCGTCTTGAAACTTTGCACACACCCTTTTTTCCAGGGACTGTAACGGTTATAATTAAAAAAGCAAAAAATTACAAAATAAAAGTTATTTCTTAATTTTTATGAAAAAAATTGATTTTTAATAATTAAAATTAATTTTAATAATAAAAAATTAGTTATAATTATTAAGTATCAATTTTTATATAAAAATTACGCAATAACTTTTATTTTATAATTTTTATTATATAAATTGGAAAATAAAAATTATTCGATAACTTTTATTTTAAAAATTGAAAATAAAGATTGAATCTGTATATCTTTTGATCCGTTGAAGCCAGATCCAATATATATGTATATATATGATCTACACATCAATACCTTTCAGATGGTATATAATAAGTATGTATATATGTTTATCCGCTTATGTGCTTGTGCAGTATTGGCAGTATTCATAAATAACTATTTATAATAACTATACTATAATAACTAACCCAACTATTGTTGCGGCGGCTGAGAAAGAGTAGTTCATTAAATTATTAAAGCGTGGATAAAATTACGCAATAACTTTTATTTTGTAATTTTTATTATATAAATTGAAAAATAAAAATTATTCGATAACTTTTATTTTAAAAATTGAAAATAAAGATTAAATCTGTATATCTATTTCGATAAGAAGTGCAACATGGTCAAAATTTTAGTATGCGTTGAACTTTGCTTCACAAGTAAATTGGTTGCCATGGGACGTAAACGTGATGCTATTGTGCGCGATTTTTTCGACTTTAATTTCGAAAAAAATGAATCAAAGTGTAAAATCTGCAACAGCCCTTTTCAGGGCTCATACTTCACTAACTTAAGGAGGCATCTTCTAGACCGGCATGCCGAAGCTTACTCATCTGAGTTAAGCCAGGAGAGCAGCGAACCTGCGGAAAAGCAAAAAAAAATTGTCATAAAGATGTCGGCCAGTCAAGTGAAAGAGGCTTGCGTGCAATTTGTAACAGACGAAAAATTGCCATTTCAAATGTTTGATTCTGCACCTTTTAAGACATTGACGGAGCAAATTTTTAAGGGCTTGGACATGACTCCCATAACAGCGCGGAATGTGATGCAGCATGTGTCGGAAAAGTACGAACGCGAAAAGGCCTCGTTAATAAGGCGGCTAAAAAATAAGGTCGTTTCGCTGAAAATTGACATCGCTTCACGGCATTCCAAAGGCATAATGGGCTTAAACGTGCAGTATTATCATAATAAAGCCATTGAGATCAAGACGTTAGGTGTTATTGAGCTGCATCAAAAACATACTGGGCTCAATTTGAGCAGTGAAGTTGAAAATATTTTGGCAGATTTTTCAATTTCTAAGCAGCAAATCTATACCATCACGTCCGATAATGGCAAAAATATTTTGAAGGCAATAGAGCATTTAAATGAAGATCCTGAAAGTACGCTAAGCTCCGACGATGAAAATGAGGAGCTAGTGCAAGAAGTACGAATTTTTTCCATCGCTTCAATACGATGTGCTGCTCACTCCTTGCAACTGGCCGTCAAGGATTTTTTAAATAACGACGAGAGGAGCGAAACTGTGGAAAACGCGCGAAAACTGGTGAAGACATTGCGAACACCGACTTTCAGGTAAGATTTCCAAAAGATTAATTATTTTAATAATAAAAAAATAATAAAACATATACTACATTAAGGCTAGCAATTGCTGCAACATCGTTACCGCTGCCCATAAATGATGTGCCAACAAGGTGGAGCTCGACGTACGAGATGCTGAAAAGTGTATGCATTTACGAAGAATTCATACACCAACACTTGCCACCAATTCGTCAACTGGCAATTCGGCACTGCTGTCTGTGCTGGAGCCGATATCCGTGGCTACCAAAAATTTGCAGAGCAAACAGCTTTATTTTGGCGACTTTTTCAAGCTTTTGTTGGAGACGAAACTCATGATTAATTCTATGAGCAGCAATATTCATAAGGAAGATCTTGTCAAAAGCTTAGAGAGTCGAGAGAATATTCTTATAACGAATGAGGTTATTCTCTCTGCAATTTATTTGGATCCCAGACTTCGGCGGATTATAGATAAAAAGCCGATTCAGCAGGCAGCAGCGAGGAACCATTTATTGGGACTGATGCGGAAAATACTTGCAATAAGTAGACAAGTAAGCTGAATGATCTTTCTCATATTTACTTTATAATTAATCACACTCTTTTTCTCTTTTACTAGGAAAACCCAATCAATGAAGACCGAATAGCAGCTGATACTGGTAGGTCTGAAGCATCGTTTCCACAGCCGAACGATGGCCCCGAACTAACGTCCCAGAGTACATGCTCATTATTAAATGAATATTTAAATTCATTTGCGGTGAGCTCTGGAAGCGAAGGCTCTGAGGACGATGATGAACCCGAGCTTAAATTGGCGGCAACAGAAATTAACGAATGTTCACCAAAGCCCATAGATCCAAGCGTGAATATCATGAGCTATTGGGAGTCGAAAAAATTCACGTATCCACGCTTGTACCGTCTGGCTCAAATAGTACATGCTGTGCCTGCAACGCAGGTATCGGTTGAAAGGGCATTTTCGGCCCTTAAATTAGTAATTACTGATCTTAGATGCAACCTTGCCGAAGACTCCGTGCAAAAGTTAATGTTCTTGAAATTAAATAATTAGCCATTTATATATTAAAAACTAATAAATTGTTGTAATTTAATCTTGATTAATAATTTAATGAACTACTCTTTCTCAGCCGCCGCAACAATAGTTGGGTTAGTTATTATAGTATAGTTATTATAAATAGTTATTTATGAATACTGCCAATACTGCACAGGCACATAAGCGGATAAACATATATACATACTTATTATATACCATCTGAAAGGTATTGATGTGTAGATCATATATATACATATATATTGGATCTGGCTTCAACGGATCAAAAGATATACAGATTCAATCTTTATTTTCAATTTTTAAAATAAAAGTTATCGAATAATTTTTATTTTCCAATTTATATAATAAAAATTACAAAATAAAAGTTATTGCGTAATTTTTATATAAAAATTGATACTTAATAATTATAACTAATTTTTTATTATTAAAATTAATTTTAATTATTAAAAATCAATTTTTTTCATAAAAATTGAAAAAAAAAAATTTATCTTGTTTTTGAATTCGCCATGAAAATTTAACTTATGACAATTTTTTTCAATTTTTTTGAAGACTGTTTTGGGCTTCAATTTTTTTAAACTCATAATCATTATTTACGGTCCCTGCTTTTTTCCTTTGCACGCAGTATATAAGTCGGAACGACCGGGATCGGCCGACTATATCCTATAGCTGCCATATAACTGATTGATCGGAAATGGTATAACTTTGGTGATTTTAGAGTTAGAGAGTTCAAATTTGACATGAGTGCTATTTTTGGCAAAACATTACGATATGCCAAATTTCATAAGGATCGGCCGACTATATCCTATAGCTGCCATATAACTGAACGATCGGAAATGACCCAACTATCGTGTTTTTGAAGATAGAAAGCTGGAATTTTATACAGATTCTATTTTTGGTCAGTTGATCCAACCTACCAAATTTCATAAGGATCGGCCGACTATATCCTATAGCTGCCATATAACTGAACGATCGGAAATGACCCAACTATCGTGTTTTTGAAGATAGAAAGCTGGAATTTTATACAGATTCTATTTTTGGTCAGTTGATCCAACCTACCAAATTTCATTAGGATCGGCCGACTATATCCCATAGGTACAGATTCTATTCTATATAGAAGTATATCAACTTCGGCTCGGCCCGAAGTTAGCTTTCCTTTCTTGTTTTTAGATAATATACCTACTTAATTTGCACTAGTTTTTATTAAACTTCCAGTGAATTTGGGATAAAGAAACGTT